AAACATTGCCTACTCCTGCTTCTCACGCCTGCCTGTGTCACCTAGCGTGATGACGTCCATTCCTGCGTCACATGATGACGTCCATCCCCGCATCTGCTTTCCCGAGAGCAGCGTAACGATGCTGATCTTAGCTTTCTATTTATGCTTGTGATTATGGTCCTCGGCCCGCCCTTGAGCTCACTATGTAGTCGTGGACGACTTTGTGCCGGGATTACAAGCATGGGCAGCTGCCTCCGCGTTCTATTGCTGTGAAGAGACCTCATGACCATAGCCACTCTTACAAAGGGAAAAGTCTGCTTTAGACTCGCTTACAGAATCAGACTTTTAGCCCGTTGTCATTGTGGCTGGAAGCATGGTGGCATTCGGGCAGACGCGGTGCTGGAGGAGCCCATCTACATCTGGATCCACAGGCAGCAGGGAGAGAGGGCCACTGGGCTCGGCTTGGGCTTCTGAAAAGCTCAAAGCCCACCCAAGTGACGCACTTCCTCCAACAAGGCCACACCTCCTAATCCTTTCAAAAGCACCACTCCCTGGTAATGAAACATTCAAATCTATGAGCCCATGGGAAACTTTATCATTCACACCATCACAGCTGCCATGCTGGTTTTGTGTTACCAGGGACCAAACCCAGAGCTCTGTGCACTCTCTTCCAACTGAGCCTCCTGTGTGAGGCTCTGACTTACATTTCAAATCACTACTTATGCTTGAGCATTTTGTCATGTGTGTATTGACTGTGTCTGGATTTGGAGCCCTATCTGTCCACATCCTTGAAGAGTAGTAGTAGTAGTAATAATAACAACAGCAATAATAATAATTTTGGTTTTTCAAGACATGGTTTCTCTGTGTAGCCCTGGCTGTCCTGGAACTCACTCTGTAGACCAGACTGGTCTTGAACTCAGAGATTCGCCTGTCTCCGCCTCCTAATTGCTTGGATTAAAGGCCTGCACCACCACAGTCTGGCCCTCTGGACTATTTTTCAAATGTAGTTATAGTTCCTTTATTGTGAAGCCACTGCTTTAAGAAGGAAACAAAACAGGCTATTTTACCTGTTTACGATTTCTTTAGGACAGGATTGCATGCATTTCAGGCTGACCTTGAACTAGGTTTTTTTTTTTTTTAGCTAAGGAGGAGCCTGGAGTCCTGATCATCCTACCTCCACCTCCCAAATGCTAGGATGACAGGCATGAGACACCACACCCACCCACCCAGTTTCTGGAGCGTGCAGGATAAAATCCAGGCAAACACTAAGTGATTCCATGAAGGATTTTGCACAGTGGGGACCATCCTGCATTACACAGTTGTCCTCACTTCCAATTACCGAACTCTTATATTTTTGGTTGTGAGCCTAGCCTTTAACGGCTGAGCCATCTCTCCAGCCCCCTCACTTCCAATTACAAGCGTGCCTTGGGTTGCAGATGCAAGGTGGGGGGGTGGTGGTTCACAGAGGCAGACACAGGAGTGACAGGCCAGGAGGCCAGCTTGTCAATGGCCTCTACCCCCTGGAGAGGTGAGAGGTAAAACAAAACAAAACAAAACAAAACAAAACAAAACACAGTTCCTGGCTCTCTCTAGAAGGACAGCTGCCTTGTGACACTGATTTTTACCACAGGCTCCAATCTCAGTTCCTGGTCTGCTGATCTGAGAGAGGAAACATCTGTGTTTTAGGTACCTGCTGTGTGCAACTGTGTCAGGGACCATCAGAGGCTCCTGTGGAGGCATCTACCAAACAGCCCTGGCAGGCAGGCCACTGAGAAGACAGACAGAGGCTCTTCACTGCGGCATCCAGCCTTTTCAGTTTCTAATTGTGCTGATTAGCTGGTGTGCCCTCAGTCTTCAAAGGAAGGCTTAGTCATCTTTCAGTCTATTGTACTACACTTTTGCTCATAAAAATCCCCAGTATCTTCTCCCATCTTCCTTGTCCCTTCCCCATCTCTGATTGGCTTTCATGTTGTATGTGTCTGCATACATAAAAAAACCCTACATTCCCTGTACGAGAGCGAGCATAGCATTTGTGCCTTCCTAGTCCAACTTACTCTGTTTAGCTTACTGATCTCCAGGGCCACTCGTTTTCCCAAAAAGGACATCATTTAGTTCCTTATTTGGCTACACTCGTCAAAGAAGTGACCTGCTCCCCCAGCTCACAGCCCTTCTTCCAATTTTGCTGACCTTTCTCCAATTAAGACTCACACCGGGTTCCCACGACCCCATCAGAACATCCTTTGTTCCTTATCAGGATGGATACAAGTATCAAATGTGGGAGTTGGGCTAGTCAACACTGTGAGAAACCTGGGCTCTCGCTTCATAGCAGTAAAAGCACAGGAGAATCAATGCTATTGGGGGACATTCCATCGTACTATGAACCCTGAGTTTGCATTTGAGTTGCTTAAATAACATTAACCTTGGGTCTGGAGGCTGAGTTTGCAACCGGTTGACAGACAGTAATCACAGAGCATCAGAGGGCATCTGGAAGAGGTAGAGAGACCCACCAAAAGTGGCAGAGAGGGGTTTTAAGTGGCACAGTTTTGTTTTTGTTTTTGCTGAGCCCAAGAATGGGCTCTTTGGGAGATGACAGCAAAGAGAGAAGGCTAGGTAGATGCTACTCAACCTCTCGGATCTAGGAGGGCTCCACCTCCAACCTTTGAGTCTCCAGTTTTATTTATAAATAAAATGATAGAGGTTTAGTTAAAGCTACCTTTAATGGCAGTGACAGAGTCAATGCCTGTGGGAACAGAATCCCTGCCAGGCTGCAGCCCGAGCAGCCAGGCCGCTGCCAGAGAAGCAGGCTGGTAACCGTGGAATTGCAATTGCTGGCCGAAATAGCAGTAAATTAAGGCACAGCCACTGTGCCTGTAGGTAAAACAACACCACATGGTGAAGCCAGGCTGTTCGTGACCAGCCTATTTATTTGAAAGTTTATTGGGTATATGACCTTGTCACATCTGTAGGCGATAGGCAAACTCGGCTATTAGTAACTCTCTGTTCTGCTCTAATCTTTTAGTTTGGATAGGGGTGGGTAGACCAGCATAATCTAACAGGAGGCCAGTCTTTTTGTTCAACTGTAGTCAGACTTAAGCTGGCTCAAGGCATTTTCATTTTGAAAACGGACCATCACTTTAAAAAAAAATTCGGCCGGGCGTTGGTGGCACACACCTTTAATCCCAGCACTCGGGAGGCAGAGGCAGGCGGATCTCTGTGAGTTCGAGACCAGCCTGGTCTACAAGAGCTAGTTCCAGGACAGCCTCCAAAGCCACAGAGGAACCCTGTCTCGAAAAACCAAAAAAAAAAAAAAATTCCTACAAATACCACTGGAGAACAAAGGGCAGACCTTGTACTTACTGCAGATCTGTGAAATTATATGTGTTTTAAAGTGACCCATCCCCACCTCAAGAACAGGATAAGCTAAAATGCATAAATCAGGTTGGACCAAAACGCAAAACTGCTCAGCAAAGCAAGTGAACCCTGTACCATACACACACACACACACACACACACACACACACACACCCTATAGAACCCCTTAGCCTGGCCTTCCACATGAATCAAACCCACAAACCGTCACCTCCTCTAGGATGCAGCAGCCCTCTCCCCTTAAGTACAGTCTGAGCGTGGAATGTCCCCTATCCAGACTCAAGACCATCAGCTGGTGATGCTATAGGGGTGTGCTGGACCACGTAGGAGGCCGAGCCCGGTAGCAGACAGTTAGGAAATTGGAGCCGTGCGTCTGAAGTGATTTTTGGGACCTCGGCACCTTCCCTGGCCTTGTTCTCCTTTGCCTGCCTGTTGTCCTGAGGAGAAAAGGTCTCCTTCAGCGCGAATACGCCCCGTGATGTGCTCTCACCATCGCCAATAGCAACAGAGTCAAATAGTAATGTGGACTCAACCCCCTGTGCAGACTGAACCTTTCCTGCCTCTGAATCTTTGGCCTCGGTTATTTTGTCACAGCGATGAAAAGCTAAAGGACCACACCCTTCCCTTTGCGGCTCTAGGATCTGTGTGGTAGTTTTAATGAATTGGCCCCCAGAGTCCCATAATCCCATAGGGAGTGGCACTATTAGGAGGCGTGGCTTTGTTGGAGTGGGTGTGTCTTTGCTGGAGGAAATTGTCACTGTGGGGGTGGGCCTTGAGGTTGCATGTACTGCCAAGATGTAGTCAGCACGCTATGGCTACAGTGCTCCCTGTCATGAAACCTCTGAGCTGTAAGCTGCCACTCCCGTTAAACGTCTTCTTTATAGAAGTTGCCATGGTCATGGTGCCTCTTTCTTCACGGCAGTAGAACCCTAGGACAATCTGCCTTGTCTGGTTCTCAGCGGGGCTGCCTTGGAACCCTGTTACAGTGAGAAATCCACATCGCTATGCTTTCCTGAAGGACTCGGCATTCTTGACCCGCCCACAAAGGCCTCCTGTTCGGCAGCTTGCCGTTCTCTGCCCTAAATCACCACCTCTTTCTGTGGGTGACCTGATGCACCGGACACAGGACCCCCACACCACCTGCTGAGGAGAGCAGGCTGCTCTGCCTCCGGGCCATTGCACTGTCTCTCTCCCTGCCCTACAAACATGCTGTTCGGTGTTGGCCACCAATGCGGTCTGTACATAGTGGCTGATGTCATTCCATCTCACAGCCCTGTGCGTGTCACAAGCACTCCCTACCCAAAGCGATACACGGGCTGAGTCTGAGGAAGGTTTAGAACGCAGGCGGACCAAAACGGGGATGGGGCGGGAGCAGCACACACACAGTCTCTGGTTCAGGAGGGTGGGGCAGGGAGTGTAATGGGATCATTATGTAGGATGGGAGGGCTCAGGGTGTAGACACTGTGAGCCCCCCCCCCCGGGGGCTGTCATGGTTTTGTGTCTCTAACCACGGGGAGAACACAAGTGCTCAGACCTTGAAGGGAGAGGAGGGGGGTGGTTGCATCTGCAAGTATATCCATCCCGGGGATAGGTGCTAAGGAGACAAGGAGGTGGTGTCGGGTTTCCACCAGAGAAGGCTGCTCAGACACGGGTTTAAGACGACAGAAAGTCTTTATTAGCCGGCTAGCAAGTACACTGGGCATTTGCAACCCCATTGTGGCACTGAGCCTTTCTCAGGGTGAGCTTGTAAGCACAAAGACACTTTTCTGTGCTGACATGGTTCATTTAATAAGAACGGTTAGTCAGAAGCAGAATTAAGAGAAGCCAAAAGGCAAGGTTGATACCTTTGGAGACTTTCCCATGACTACGGACTTTGATGGATTAGGTCTTTGTTTTCATTTTGGTAGGTGGTACTGACCATGTGGTGAGTTTTATCACCTGAATGGTACTCCCATTATGGAGTCCATTGTGCTATGGTCTGGGGCCCTGTTACATTCCCCAGTGGTCTTAACTGATGGGGGAAGTCCTTCTGTGTATATGTTTGTCTTACTGGTTGATAAATAACGCAATGGAATAGGCCAATAGGAAAGCAAGATAGGCGGGACTAGGAGTCGAGGAGGAGTCTGGGAAATGGAGTCAAGAGGAGAGAGAGTCTTCCTGTGATCCGGGGAAGAGAGGACACATGAGGCTGGCGTCCTCGGTTAGATAAGACCTTATAGAAAAAAAAAATATATATAGATAGATATAGATAGTTATGGCTTAATGCCTAAAACAGAACTAGCCAGGGCTCTCATGAAACCCTGGGCATTGGCCGACAGCATGGTAACTAATAGTCTCTCTGTGTTATTTGGCATTGATGAGGCTCTGGGACCAGGCTGGCAGGGAGAATGCTCGTTACACTTAGGGAATGAATGAGAAAAAATGTGGACTTGTGTTTTAGTGTAAGATGCAGGATCCCTGCACCCCACGGCCATTGACCCAATCAGAATGAGAATTAAAGCTACACTCAGTGAATGAGAAAAATGTGGACTTGTGTTTTAGTTTAAGATGCAGGATCCCTGCCCCCCATGGCCATTGACCCAATCAGAGAATTAAAGACCCAGTCAGAGCTGATGACAGAGTAAGTAGGGGTACCAAGAGAACAGAGATTGGCATTGGTTTTTTGTTTTTTGTATTCGTCTCTTCTCGTTTTTTTTTTTTTGAGGTTTTTTGAGCAATGACAAGATTACTTTTTAAATTACTGCTGATTAATTATCGTAGAAAAAACAGGTTTCTTCAAAACTATTTATAGTTCCCCTTTTCTCATGAGCAGTAAGTCTAAGTCTGTCCAGTTTTGTGGGACCATTTCTGCAAGGGATCTAACTGTTGTTTTAACCCAGAAACAGAAACTTTTAATACCTCTAGGTCCTGCTCAACCTGTCTACTTATTTTGGAAAGTATCAGAAGAGGCATATTTGTCAAACTGTTGGTACACACCTACCAAGTAGTCTCAGGAGCACGGTAATATTGTTGTAGTCCATATGAGTTAACCCAAAAAAGCCGAATAGCAGTGCCTAGGTTAAATATTTAGGATTAGACAAGTTTTAGTCTCTTGTAAATCCTCTGATGTTAATTTGGGTTGACCCCAGGCACAGTGAGTTTTGTCAGTCAATAGGCTAACAATCTGATTAGTTCCTATCCTGCGTAGTGTGGGAGCTGGGTATCCAAACATAACCAACAATCCTGGCTGATTTCTGGCTGGGAATGATTAACTCTATCCCCAGGGTCCCTTCCTATGGTATAGAGTGGTTCTCCAGGTTTTCAAAGGTCAAAATCTTTCTAAAGGGTTTTTCAGGAAGCCTCGATCTTACAACTGGGATTTTTGAATTAGAAACTTCTCAGTTTCTGGCAATTAAGGGACCCAGCCTCAGGGTATGCATAGACTTATGAACTCTGTATTGCTATCTCAAGACATAAACCCCCAATTTTTTTGCTTATTTTCAATATAGCCAAGCACTTAAAATGGTTATTGGTGAGCAAAGGTCAAGATGAATACGGGATGCTGGTGTATGGTCATCTAGCTAACAGCTATGCTGTCTGTACCTGTCTTTCTCAGTTCCTAGGGGCTGTGTGGGTCAGACTGTAACCCCATGCTCATTCCCATAGAACAAAGCAAAAGACTCAGGAGCAGGCAGAGGGGCGGAGAGTGGGAGAACCTGGGGCTCAATGAAACCTTAATTTTAACGGGTCCATAGTCTAAGAGACAGTTCATTCGGCATCATCATCCACGGCTCCCACTTTCTTGATCCGGGTGTGGTGGATCCGTTGTGTGATGCCGGCTACCTTCACAGCACAGGAATGGAGAGAATCACCTTGGAGGGTCATTTCCAAGTTGGTTCCAGGGCTCCTTTGGCTACCTGCTTGAACCAGAGAGTTTCAACAGACAAGAAAAAACTGGTACTCAAAAGTCAGCTGGGTCTCCTCCAATAGTCCAATGAATGCCCTTTTCGAAGGGCTTGAGAAAGAAATGGTTAGAGGGTTCTGTCAACCGCTGGTCTCTGAGCCTGGGAAGCAGTGGGGGGGGGTCTTCCAAATATCCCTGCCTATATGGGGTGCAGCAGGCCTGAAGCAAAGCAAAGGAGAGTTATTCACCCTTCTCTGGACTCTAAAGAGAGTTTTGCTACAGTTTTATTAACGTTCTGTTTATTTTTTTCTACCTTCCCAGGACTGAGTTCTATATATACAGTAATTTTTTCCCATTTATTTCTAAGGCCTTAGCTATTAGTAGAGAGGTTTTGGCTATGAAAGCCAGACCACTGTCAGATCCCATTGGCTAGGAGTAGGCCAAATCAGGGAACCAGTTCTTGGAGGAGCTTTTAAGCTTCCATCTGAGCAGTTTCAGTCTGGGTGGGGAATGCACCAACCCATCCAGAAAAGATGGCTAGTTCCTATAAAAACTGGCAAGTATTTTTATCTTCCCCCGGCAGGCCAGATCTCCAAGAAGTCAGTTTCCTCAGAGTTCACCAAGCTGTTGGTCTCTCATTCGGAACCCTTCCTAGGTAAGGGTTTGGGTTTGGTTAGGCACGAAACTGGAATCTGGCTGAGCCATCCTGTGCTAGGTGTAACAAACCTTGGTCTGAGCAACTCTGTTTCGTGAATCTCAGAGAAGTGGCCCAGTAAAGGTCAGTCACCAGAGTCCTGCCCGTCATTTCTGGGAGAACGACCTTGGTCTGGGCAACTCTGTTTCGTGAATCTCAGAGAAGTGGCCCAGTAAAGGTCAGTCACCAGAGTCCTGCCCGTCATTTCTGGGAGAACGACCTTGGTCTGGGCAACTCTGTTTCGTGAATCTCAGAGAAGTGGCCCAGTAAAGGTCAGTCACCAGAGTCCTGCCGGTCATTTCTGGGAGAACGACCTTGGTCTGAGCAACTCTGTTTCGTGAATCTCAGAGAAGTGGCCCAGTAAAGGTCAGTCACCAGAGTCCTGCCGGTCATTTCTGGGAGAACGACCTTTCCTTCTATTGTCCTCTATCAACCTTTGGGTTGAACTGTCCACTCTCTTCTTTGCCACGGAGTCTCAGGTAGCACTAGGTCAGGATAAGTCACCAGAATATCAACAGGCCCCACTGGCCTTAGGGCCATTTGTCGGGGACAGCAAGGTCAGTGGCCCAGTGGTGGAGGGGGGTAAGGGGTGGGAGGTGTTCTCACACCAAAGAAAGCCATTGGTCAATACTAGGAATCCAGTGACATCTCATATGGTTCCTGGACACTGGGTCAACAGCCATGTCTGATCTCCCCTATGTGTCCACACAGAAGGCACCTTTACCAGACTTGTCTGCAGGTGACAGATAAGGCGATTTCTAATTTGTTTCATTTTGTGGGGGAGGTATCAGACTCCTCTGAAGTGTTAGGCAGTGATTGATCGAAAGGAGTCTCGGGGACCTGGAATTCAGGTTGTGTACCTCCTAGGAGCTCTTTGACCATCACATTTCAAGGGGCTCTGAGACAAAAACGTAGTGGGGTACCCACTAGAGAAGACAGCTTGGTTTAAACCAATAGAAAACCTCTACTAGCTGGCCAGAGACTACCCTGGGTATTTAGGATCCCAGTGTAGTCTCTGAGAAAGTCCCAAGACTTTCTCAGTGTGAGCTTGTAATCACAAAACCACTGGTCTGTCTTGACATACTTCGGTTCACAAGAACAGTTAGCCAGAAGCAAAATTACAGAAGTCAAGAGGCAAGGTTAGTCCTTTTGGAGACTTTCCCATAACTATGGACTTTGGTGGGTTAGGTCTTTGTTTTCATTTTGGTAGGCGGTACTGACCATGCACCGAGTTATATGGCCTGAATGGTATTCCCATCATGGAGTCGGTTGTGCTAAGTTCTGGGGCCCTATTACAGAGGCAGGAGGTGACAGAGAGTCAATGACCAGGGAAAGATAAGGTTCAGGGATAATCAAGATTGGAAGAATAAAGGGGTCAGTATGGGTCATGGGGTGAAGGCTGAAGAGAGAGAGATGACAGTTAGAGAACCACAGCTAGCTCTGGAAGAAAGGATGGGGCTGCTGATCCGGGAGCATCATGGGACCCAGCAGGGACGTGGGCTCAGAGGAGGGTAGCCAGTGGTCATGGTAAGCCAGGTCACACTGGGTTCGTCACAGGGAAGAGTCCTGAAGGCCATCAAATGCTGGAATCCCACCCCACTCACCTGAGAGACTAATCCACGACAGTGTCTGCATAATCCACCTGTGCTGCTGGCCTCTCCACTCTCCTCCTTTGGGATTTCTTGCTAAATGAAGAGACCACAGACTTCAGTTCACGTCCCCGAGCCCTGGTGATAGGCTGTAAGGGTGGCTGAGGGACAGACAGACACCCAGACCGCCGGACCCACCTGTGGAAGACAGCCTTCTTCCTTGATGGCTGTTCTGTTATTTTTTTTTCTTTAAATTAGAAACAAGCTTGTTTCACTTGTCAATCCCAGACCTGTCTCCCTCCCCTGTTCCCCCCCTCCCCCAGCAGGCTCCCCAACCCCCAACCCAATCACCACTCAGTTCCCCAGGGGGGGGGTGAGGCCCTCCCTCCATGGGGAAATCTCCAGTGTCTGTCATTTCGTTCAGGGCATTTCGTTCTTAGTTGTCATGTTGACTAGGTCTGTAATTAAGCCAGGTGGCTTGGCACCCCTGTGAGGGATTTTCTTAATCGACTTACTTAAGGTGGAAGACCCACCCTGAACCCAGATCTTTTTTTTTTTTGTTAAAATTCACAGGGATGATTTACTTGTTTGAAAGGTTTTTTTTTTTGGTTGTTTTTTTTTTTTTTTCATCAAAAGACATAACATGAAAAGCATTCCATGTAGTTTTTGGAAATAATACAAAACATACTCTTATTAAATGGCATTTTACAAAATGGTATCAACTGCTCATAAGGAGAACATAATAAATGACTTTCTAAAACTTTGTATTGATCCTTTGTGAATTTCCTATCGTGGACTCATTTCCTCCATATCCTCCCTTCCCTGGGCAGCCTCCCGCAACAGAAAACAAAGAAACAAAAGTGACAAAAATTTTGCAAAAGGAAGAAACCTGACCACGGAAACTGTGGCGTGTCACGTGTCTGCCCTTTCGCCCAAATAGCTTTCCTTGTAAATGTTTGTTGCCGTGAGACATTCACTGAATGGTTCAAGGCCTCCGACTTCTGCTACATTCTCAGCATGGACTCCTCCTGGATATCCTGTTGTTGCCTGTGTTGGTTCTGCAGGACTGGCCCCTCACATGCTCCAGTGTTCCTTAGATGGGGAATATGTTGAGGTGGGCCGACTCAAAGCCACGGGTCTGGCCCTGGGTGGTAGCTGAGTTGGTCAGCTCTCCCACTCTCCTATGCCAGAGTCACTAGGGTCAACTCTTCTGCTTTGCCCAGGGGAAGGACAGTACCAGCCAGCTCTGTACCGTCCCAGCAAGGGGTGGGGCTAGTTCTCCAGTATATGCATCTCCAGGGCCACCTCTCCCATATGCCCAGAGAGCTAAACCCAGATCTTCTGAGGTGGGGAGATCTACCTTAACTCTGGGCCACACCTTCTGGCGGCCCTCTCTCTCAAAGACACAGACAAGGGAGCATTTGCCCTTTGTCTGCTTGCCCTCTCTCTGATGGGTGAGTTCATCCCTTCACTCGTATCCGAGTCTACTTCTTTGGGATGTCAGTGTATGTTGAAGACCAGCTGAGTGTATGTTGAGATCCAGCCTGGTGGACTCAACAAATGTTGGACTCTTGGGACTTTCTGTCAGACAGCCATTGTTGGAATAGTCAGACCATAGACTAACCTGTAATCCACTCTAATAAACGCAGTGTGTGTGAGTGTGTGAGTGTGTGAGTGTGTGTGTGTGTGTGTGCGCGTGCATGCACTTACATTTATCGGTTCTGTTCCTCTAGAGAACTCTGACTAATAATAAATAATACACTCCCCCAACTGCTACATTTGACAGCTCCAGCATGACGAGGGAGCTGTCAGTACCCATGAACTCCCCGCCTGGACACCAAGCCTTAAGACCCCCGTGTTATCTCCCAGCACTAGTAATCTAAGATTCAGTGTTGAGTGTCTGCCCTCCTCACAGCTCTACTGTGTCCCAGGAACAACACTCACCTGAGGAAGAGGAAACAGATCCCAAGAAGCAGGAATTTGATAGCCGCCTCTCCCATTGCCACGAGCACCACCTCTGCCAGGGGCCCTGATTTCCCTGAAGAGAGGCGGGTGGACCTGAATTTACCGCTAACCCCAGACAGAGCCCTCCCTCTCTCAGTAGCATCCTTCAGATCTTCCTGCATCCCAGACCTGAGACCTCATTAGCCCAAGCCTCCCTGATGCCCTCACCACGCTGCCAACAATATATCAGAAAAAAATCACTTCCTTTCATAATTAAAGCTTCTGTCACAGAGGCATGGTGACCACCTGTATTTCTACTACTCAGAAGGATGAAGCATAGGACTATGGGTTCAAAGCCAGCTAGGGGTTACATAGCAAGATCCGCAATCAAAAATTAAAACCAGCGACCGCAGTTGAAAATATAGAGGACTTACAGACCTAGGGGGCGTATTTGCGTACTGTGGTAAGGGGCTGTTGTCAAGCGCACAGAAAGAATTCTTTTAAAAAAGTTTGTGTTTTTATTTGCCTGTGTGTATGTATGGGCACACATGACGTCAAAAGAGGCTGTCAGGTCCCCTAGACCTGGAGCTACAGACAGCTACGAACCACCATGTGGGTGATGAGAAATGAACCCAGGTGGTCTGAAAGAGCAGTCAAGGCTCTCAACCCCTGAGTCATCTCGCCAGCCTCCAGAAAAGAATTCTTTGCTTTGTTTTGTTTTTGTTTTTCGAGACAGGGTTTCTCTGTGTAGCCCTGGCTGTCCTGGAACTCACTCTGTAGACCAGGCTGGCCTCAAACTCACAGAGATCCACCTGCCTCTGCCTCCCGAGTGCAGGGATTAAAGGCGTGCGCCACCAACGCCTGGCCAGAAAAGAATTCTTACAGTTTAAAATTACGAGAAACTCAAATGCCTTTAATCTCAGCCCCCAGGAGACAGAAGCAGATTTTTATCTCTCTCTCTATCTCTGTCTCTATCTCTATTCCGTTTCTCTCTCTCTGTCTCTATATAGAGAGATATATAGATTTTATATATATATTCTGACTTGAGGCCAGCCTGGTACCATAGTGAGGTCCTTCCTCAAAAATAGAATATGAAGATCTAGGCAACTCAGCTCATAACAGTTACAGGATTTTTAACTAATACTTCCCAGAAAAATAACCAAATGGCCAAGTAGAGACAAGGTTACTCAATGGCCTGTGACTCACCTTGTTAGCCTCTAGCTAACAATCTGGTTAAGCCAGACCCAATGACCAGGGAGCCTGGCTTCATCTCCCCAGCAGTGGAATTATAAGCGCATGCCACAATACCCAGCTCCCTGCCCGCTCTGTTCCTCTGCCCCTCTGTCCCTCCATCCCTCCCTCCTTTTCCCCCCTCTCCCCTCCCCCATTTCTCTGTGTGTGTGTGTGTGTGTGTGTGTGTGTGTGTGTGTGTGTGTCTGAAATGTGGGTTTTGGGAACTGAACTCAGGTCCCTGCAAGGCAAGCCTTTTACTCACAGAGCTGTCTCCCCCTCCTTACATTTTCTTTGTCTTTATGGTCTGGTCAAAGGGCATAAATAAGCCCAAGGCAATACTAAACTTCTCCTGATATTGATAAATACCCAAAGGATTCCCAGGGATAGGGGGGTGGGCCAATGCTCACCCACGGGGCCCAAAACAAAACAAAACAAAAAGGGTTTGCTTCACCTGACTCAGTGGAAGTATATGCTCTCCTAGCTCCCTGCTGGGAGTGTTCTACTGTTCGACAGCCATGAAGAAACACTTGGCCATCATTCTTTGTATCAGAAAGACCCCAGATCTAGATGCGATTTGAATTTGGAAGTTAGTAATTCAGACAGATAGACAGAAAGACAGACAGACAGATAGACAGACAGACAGACACACGAAACTATTCACTACACACTGCTTTTGGAAGAATGACATCAATGAGTATGGCTGCCCAATGGTACAAAATGCCCACAGAACTGGATCCAACCAGTATGGACCCGAGTCCTGGAGAACAGAAGCTGTTAGGCTACTGATATCCTGAGTCCTCTCAGGGTACCTGTGGACAAACAAACAAAAGTTTGGTACTACATTTTCTTACTATTGGATTATTGTTTAGGTGAGAGTTTGTTAACGATTTATCTTATTGACCTCTAATTAAGCATCAGATAAATTACACTGGAAAAATGGGGGAAAAAAAGCTTGATCCTGTGTGTAGTCATCTGTCTGTCCTGAGAAGGGGACTAACTGTGTTTGCCCATATGGCTGTGTCTCCTGCAGGCACCTCAAGATTCAAGCTGACAGACTCAAGTGCTGAGGTCTCAGACAGATCCACAAGGGGACTAAAAGTGTCTGGAATGTGTGATTCTGCCTTGCGAATGCTGGTCTAACCCTGTAATAGCCCCAGAGTGCCCCACGAGCCCCAAGGGATCTAGGAATAGGCGGGGACAGGTGCTGTGGCACCTGGGTGTACTGTGGACGAGAAAGATCACCAGTTTTGTAAGAAGGGGGTCTTTGTGTTCAGGAGGAGGAAGGATGGACCCTGCTCTGAGCTACAGAGACCCTGTTACTCCAACACAAGATGACTTCCCCTACCTGGGCCAGCTCCATTAGAGGCAAGGCTTGTGGCGTTCCGTGCTGTATCTTGGAACAACAGAAAAACAGAGAACAAAACAAAACAAAAAACTTAACATCACAGGTTTCAGCACCATTCGCCACAGAAAGCACAGAGTGTGAGAGGTATGGGACCTGTGTGTCTTAGTCCCCCAACCCAACTATCATCCATCACACAGTCACCACCAAGCCCAGCCCTGGGTCGAACTCACCGGTGACATTGATCTGGACAGTCTTTTGGACAGTCACGCCAGCTCCTGGGAAGGTCACTTGACAGATGAGGTTGGTGCCGTGGTCCTGGAGCCTGGGTGTGAGGGTCATCCCTGAAGACAGAGTGGTCCTAGGGCCCAGAGATGTGGGGGCAACTGACATCCAGGTGAAGATGGGAGGTGTCCCCTTCTCACAGGCCCAGGGCACAGAGCACGTCACGTTGCTAGGATGGCCAAGCTCCAGAATCTGTGGGATGTCGATGTTGGGGGTGTGATTGAGGGCTGGTGAGGAGAGAAAGACATGCCGGATCAGGCCGGGGCCTGGGGTGGGGGGAGGAAGAAGTACAGCCACTGAGAAGCCCAGGTTCGGATCCAGCTCCTCCATTACCCTACTCCATCCCCAGTGACTCTCAGGTTGCGATCCCAGCCCTGCTTTGCGGCATCCATGAGCTTCCTCTGTGGTCAGCGTGGATCCAGGACTTTACCTGTCACACGCAGAATGAGCTGATCCGTGTAGAAATTCCACTTAAAGGCATCGCTTTCCATCCTGAAGAAGTAATAACCACTGTCGCCCCTCTGAGCGTCTCTGACGTCCAGCGAGCAGTCGTTGATCCTTGGGTCCCCAAGGAGATGGAATCGGCTGGGAGTCTCCTGCACTGTTTTATCTGGGTTGTTTGTAGCCACTGGAAAAGCAAGGTCTGTGTTCGCCCCTGCGTGGAACCAGTAGCCGAAGACGGTGGAGTTAAAACTTGGGTTCCACGAGGGATGAAAGAATGAGCAGGGCACGAAGACACACAGACCCTCCTGCACCGTCACAAGGGCGGACTGCAATTCCACCTTGGCCATCTCATTTGTAAGCGTGGACTCTGCGGGGAGAAGGAAGTAGTTTCCCCATGCCCACCCACACACCCAGAGCAGGAGCAGCAGCATCCCAGCCAGAGGCCTGGGCTCCTTTGAGTGAGCGAAGGGAGGGCTCCATCAGGGGAAGCTTCACAGGGTACCAACAGCTTTCAGCTCACAGAAGAGGAACCAAGGACTGCAGGGTGGCCCGAGTCTTCCTGTGTGCAGAGAACACAGGAAAACCCAGCAATCAGATGTCAAAGAGACTTGAGAGACCCAGAGAAGGAGGCCCGTGGAGATAGCTCAGTCTGCAAAGTGTTGGTTGCACAAAGCATAAGGACTTAGATTCAGGTTCATGGCTCGTACAAAAATTTGGGCATGACGATTGCATGTCCGTAATCCCAGTGCTGGGGAGGCAGAGTCAGGAGGGTCCCTAGAGCTTGCCAGCCAGCCATTCTACCTGACTTGGTTATCTCCAGATTCAGTGAGAGACTCTGTCTCAAACAAATAAACAACAACAACAAAAAAAAAACAGGTTTCCAAACTGGAGATGGATCAGTGGTTTAAAGCACTTTTTGCTCTTGCAGTTAACCTGCGTTCAATTCCCAGCACCCATTTGGTGACCCTAGGCCATCCACAACTCCAGTTCCAAGGGATTTGACTTGACATCCTCTTCTGACCAGCACCAGGCATGCAGGTGGCGCACACATATACACACCCAGGCAAAACACTCATCCAGGTAAAATGGAATAATAAATATTAAAAAACACTTTTAACGAGGCAGAGAATAATTGCGGAGGGCACCTGACATTAACCTCTGACCATCGTCACACCCTCACTTGCTCACGGAACATTGCGTACATGCACACGCAAACATATGCACACACACACACACACACACACACACAGGAAGGAAGGGAAACAGCATGGATGGATGGATGGAGAGAGAGAAGAAAGTAAAGAAGGAAGGAAAGAAGGGAGAGAGGAGTAGAGAAGGTTAGAGAGTAAGACCTGAGGGACTTCCCTGCAGCACTGGGGTGGATCTGGACAGAGGGGTGACCCTAAGACCTTTCCTTAGTCTAAGGCCTCCCCTTAGGAGGAAGATCTCGGGTGAAGTGAAGCCAGCCTCTGTTGAGTTTGCGCACTCATTTTTTTCCCCAGGAAGCACACAGTAAGCTTTGGGCATTGCAGAACTAGACACAAGAAGGGAGACTTGCGTCTGGCCCCGTCCTGTGCAGCCTGCTATGCAGGAGCCCCGGCCTCTCCATACACTGGTGCTGCTGTCTTCAGAGCTGCTGGCACTGGCAGGCTCTCCACCTGTCTTGGAGGCGTTATGGAATATATATTTGTAAAGCATGAGCTGGGAGTTACTTCCCTCACAACTAGTGGACTAATTCCCAAGGTGTCAATGACAGCAGCACCGTCAAGGTGACACAAAAGGAGAACAGGAGTTCTCAACAGCACGGGACAAATGGCTTCTCATGGTGTGGAGAGCATAACAGCCACGGCTACGTCCTCACCTCGCAGATCAGTACTTCCTTGGAATCGCAGATGTGTATCTCCCAGCTAGATGTCCATCAGAAGGCACCTACTTAGTAATGGAACTGGGTCTTCAAAAGGCCGTTCTAAGATGCCCATTCATACAACAGGGACATCTGTTTCACTATGTTCATAGCAGCATCTTTGGGGTATGTGCCTAAGAGTGGAGTCGCTGGGTCTTGTGGTAGACTGATTCCCATTTTCCTGAGGGATCTCCATACTGATTTCCAAAGAGGCTGTATGAGTTGGCATTCCCACCAGCAGTGGAGGAGTGTTCCTCTCTCTCCACATCCCCTCCAGCATAAATTGTCTTCGGTGTTTTTGATTTTAGCCATTCTGAAAGAGGTAAGATGGTATCTCAGAGTTGTTGTGATTTGCATTTCCCTGATGGCTAAGGATGTTGAGCACTTTCTTAAGTGTCTCTAAGCCATTTTAGATTCCACTATTGAGAATTCTCTATTTAGTTGTGTAGCCCACTTTTTAATTGGATCCTTTGGTGTTTTGGAGACTTACTTCTTGAGTTATTTGTAAATTTTGGAGATCAACCCTCTGTCAGATGTGGAGTTAGTGAATATCTTTTCCCATTCTGTAGACTACCTTTTTCTCTTGTTGACTGTGTCCTTTGCCTTACAGAAGCTTCTCAGTTTCAGGAGGTCCCATTTATTAATTGTTGATCTCAGTGTCTGTGCTACTGGTGTTATGTTCAGGAAGCTGTCTCCTGTACCAATTCGTTCAAGGGTACCACCCACTTTCTCTTCTAAGTGGTTCAGTGTGGCTGGATTTATGTTGAGGTCTTTGATCCATTTGGACTTAAGTTTTGTGCATGGCGATAGACATGGGTTTATCTGCAGTCTTCTATATGTCAGCATCTAGTTATGCCAACACTATTTGTTGAAGATGATGTCTTTTTTCCAATGTATAGTTTTAACTTCTTTGTCAAAAATCAAGTGTTCAAAGGTGTGTGGATTAGTATCAGGGTTTTCAATTCGATTCCATTGGTCTACCTGTCTATTTTTGTGTCAATACCACGCTGTTTTCAGGACTATAGCTCTATAATAGAGCTTGAAGTCAGGGATGGTGATGCCTCCGGAAGTTCCTTTTTTCTACAGGGTTGTTTTGGCTATTCTGGGTCTTTTGTTTTTCCATATAAAGTTGAGAATTGTTCTTTCAAGGTCTGTGAAAAATTGTACTGGTATTTTGATGAGGATTGCATTGAATATGCAGATTGCTTTTGGCAAATTGCCATTTTTACTATGTTAATTCTACCAATCCAAGAGCATGGGAGATCTTTCCATTTTCTGGTGTCTTCTTTAATTTCTTTCTTTAAAGAATCAAGTTCTTACTGTACAGGTCTTTCACTTGTTTGGTTAGCATTATCCCCAAATATTTTATGTTGTTTGGGGCAATTGTAAAGGGTGATGCTTCTCTGATTTCTTTCTCAGCCCATTTATCATCTGTATATAGTAGGGCTACTGATTTTCTTGAGTTGATCTTGTAGCCTGCCACTTTGCTGAAGGTGTTTATCAGCTGTAAGAGTTCCCTGGTAGAGTTTTTCGGGTCACTTATGTAAACTATCATATCATCTGCAAATAGTGAAAGTTGGACCTCTTCCTTTCCAATTTTTATCCCCTTGATCTCCTTTTGTTGTCTTATTGCTCTAGCTAGAACTTCAAGTATAATATTGAAGAGGTATAGAGAGAGTGGACAGCCTTGTCTTGTTCCTGATTTTAGAGGAATTGCATTGAGTTTCTCTCCGTTTAGTTTGATGTTAGCTGTTGGTTTTCTGTATATTATTTTTATTATGTTCAGGTATGTTCCTGTTATCACTGATCTCTCCAGGATTTTTATTATGAAGGGGTGCTGGATTTTTTTCAAAGGATTTTTCCGCATCAAGTGAGATGATCCTGTGGTTTTTCTTTTGCAGTTTGTTTATATGGTGAATTACATTGATAGATTTTCGTATATTGAATCATCCCTGCATCCCTGGGATGAAGCCTACTTGATCATGGTGGATGATTTTCTGTTGTGTTCTTGGATTCGTTTTGTAAATATTTTATTGAGTATTTTTGCATCAAAGTTCATGAAGGAGATTCGTCTGTAGTTCTCTTCCTTAGTTATGTCTTTGTGTGGCTTGGGTATCAAGGTGATTGTAGCTTTGTAAAAAGAGTTTGGCAACAAACTTCCAGCTTCTATTGTGTGGAACACTTTGAGGAGTATTGGAATTAGCTCTTCTTTAAATTTCTGGTAGAATTCTGTACTGAAGCCAAATGGACCTGGGATTTTTTTTTTGGTTGGGAGAATTTTGATGACTGCTTCTATTTCGTTAGGGGTTATAGGTCTGTTTAGATTGCTTATCTGCTCTTGATTTAATTTTGGTAAGTGATATCTACCCAGAAAATTGTCCATTTCCTTTAAATTTTCAAATTTTGTTGTGTACAGGTTTTCAAAGTATGACCTGAAGAGTCTCTGGATTTCCTCAGTGTCTGTTGTTATTTCCCCCTTTTCATTCCTGATTTTGTTGATTTGCATGTTCACACTCTGCCTTTTAGTTAGTTTGGACAGAGGTTTGTCTATCTTGTTGATTTTCTCGAAGAAACAACTCTTTGTTACATTGATTCTTTGTATCCTTTTCTTTGTTTCAATTTTATTGATTTCAGCCCTCAATTTGATTATTTCCAGGCATCTACTCCTCTTGGGTGAGTTTGCTTCTTTTTGTTATAGAGCTTTCAGTCCTGCTGTTAATTCCCTCATGTGACTATTCTCCAGTTTTTTTCATATGTGTATTTAGTGCTATGAACTTTCCTCTTAGTACTGCTTTCAAAGTGTCCCATAAGTTTGGGTATGTTTTGTCTTCATTTTCATTGAATTTTAGGAAGTCTTTAATTTTTTAAATTTATTTCTTCCTTGACCCAGGAATGGTGCAATTGCGTGTTGTTCAATTGCCATGAGTTTGTAGGGTTTCTGCAATTTGTGTTGTTGTTGAATTCTAATTTTAAAGCATGGTGGTACAATAAGATACAGGGGGTTATTTCAATTTTTTTTGTACTTGTTGCGGTTTGATATGTTGCAAAGTACGTGGTCGATTTTAGAGAAGGTCCCATGTGGAACTGAGAAGAAAGTATATTCTTTTGTGTTTGGGTAGAATGTTCTATAGATGTCTGTTAAACCAAATTGGGTCATAACTTCGTTAATTCCCTTGTTTCTTTGTTGAGTTTCTGTCTGGTGGTCCTGTCTAGTGGTGAGAGTGGGGTGTTGAAGTCTCCCACTATAATTGTGTGAGGTCTTATGTGTGATTTGAGTTTTAGTAATGTTTAGTAATGTGAACACCCTTTTACTTGGGGCATAATGTTCAGAATTGAGACTTCATCCTGATAGATTTTTCCTGTGATGAATATGAAATGACCTTCATCTCTTTTGATTGATTTTAGTCTAATTTGTTTGATACTAGGAAGCTACACCAACTTGTTTCTTGGATCCATTTGATTGGCAAATCTTATCCCAACCCTTTACTCTGAGGTAATGTCTGTGTTTCAAGTTGAGGTATGTTTCTTGTATGCAGCAGAAGGATGAATTCTGTTTTCGTATCCATTCTGTTAGTCTGTGTATTTTTATAGGCAAATTAAGACCATT